CTACGGAGGGAGGGAGAGGGAGGGGTAAGTGGGGAAGTGGGGAAGTGGATGAGTGAGTGAGCAAGTGGATAAGTGAGCAAGTGTGTAAGTGAGTAAGTGCATAAGTGAGTAAGTGGATCACTGAGTAAGAGGGTAAGTGGATAAGTGAGTGAGTGGGTAGGGATATAAGTGGATCGGTGGATAGATAGGTCTATAGATAGGTAGATAAATTGATTTAAAAAATGGGTGTTGATACATCGACGGACAGACAGGCAGATAGATAGATTAGTAGATAGAAAGAAATATGAATGGATAGATAGATTCATGGAATGAGAGAGAGAGAGAGAGAGAGAGAGAGAGAGAGAGAGAGAGAGAGGAGAGAGAGAGAGAGAGAGAGAGAGAGAGAGAAGAGAGAGAGGAGAGAGAGAGAGAGGAGGAGGAAAGAGGGAAAGAAGAGAAGAGAAAGAGAAAGGAAAAGAAAAAGAGAGAGCGAGAGGGGGAGAAAGAGAAAGAGAGAGAGCGATAGAGCGAGAGACAGACAGAGAGCGAGAGAGAGAGAGAGAGAGAGAGAGAGAGAGAGAGAGAGAGAGAGAGAGAGAGAGAAGAGAGAGAGAGAGAGAGAGAGAGAGAGAGAGAGAGAGAGAGAGAGAGACAGTCAGACAGACAGGCAGACAGAGGAAAGAGGGAGAGTATATATATATATATATAGATAGATAGATAGATAGATAGATAGATAGATAGATACACACACACACACACACGCCAACATAATCGGAATTCCACACACAAAAAAATTAAACTCATTCAAACAGCTGTTTTCAATATCCATCTACATTGACTCAAGTTCCAGTCACATCAGCTGATTACTTCGAGGTTCATTATTTTGATTAGCCAGTCCCATCGCGTTCATTAACGAATCCGGCGGCATTGGCTTCTGATCATGCGAAAATTACGCGAATGTGCGCAAAAACAGCGCGGACAAAGACAACAAAGACGGAGATATTTAAAGTAGATTAGTTTTAGTTTCGTTGTCCACTTTTTCTTTTTTGAAGAGGTTCAGAACGATGAAATGATAATGATAATGATGATAATGATAATAAAAAACTACTACTAATAGCGATAATGATAATAATAATAAAAATGATAGTAATAATAATAATGATGATGATGATGATGATGATGATGATGATGAGAGGAGGAGGAGGAGGAGGAGGAGGATAATAATAACAATAATAATACGAAGAATGAGAATAGTTATTATCATGATGATGATAATAATGACAATGTTAATAAAGAGTAACAAGCAAATTAAACAGGAAACACGCGAATAAGAGTAAGAATTAAAATACAAATAATTTGAAAGTAAAGAAATAACAGATTATCGGCGTTTTTGCTCCAATAACCCTACTTCAACATTTACGATATCGGTACTGACTGCCATCATTATTGTGGGAAAAAAGGGGGAAATTTAACCTCTTACCTTTAGCTGCTAACAAGCCAATACCACAATAAAGTTCAACTCAGGGAAAGCGTGATTGTGTACGCTTTTGCTCCTAACTTTTTTGGACGGTTCCAAAATGGCGCGAGGAAAGTTTTCGCGCCAAAACTCACGCGTCGAGAAGGGAAGTTCGACCATTAGAACTATGAGCATTGGTTTTAACTTTTAATTCATCTATCATATTTCATTCTCTTTTATCTATATAATTATTTATGATTAGTTCATTCATTCATCTATCGTACCGGAGGATGCTATCAGTTATTCATTTAGGTGTTGATTTGTTAGGACAATGAGTCAGTCTAAGGTAATGTCACTTATATGAAAACTAGTTGAGTTAAATCATTATGAATAAAAGGGATGTTATGGGAGAGATCAACGTTATTTGATAAGAAATAAAACGGTATAAAAATCAGAAACGAAGATTTATCACAAAAAAGGGAAAAAGAAAACGGAACTCTATACGGGTAAACTTAAAAAAAAAAACGTAGACCCAACACGGTGTATGAACAAAATGATCGTAATTTACGAAGCCCCGCCGCGGTCTGGATCGTATCTAAGGCACAGTCAGCGCTATTGGATCGTAAAGAGGCTCGTACAAGCAATCCGATCTTATACATACACCGCCTTGTGGATTAGCGTTAAGAAGAAAATATCCAATGCTGTGACGTACGTATATACAGTAAAGTTGCATGAAGGAGACTCTAGTGTGCCGTGCGCTTACGAGCATTTGCTTATTATTGGAAATATATTATATGTCCTGGAGAGAGACGGTTTGTATCAAGCGCTGGTGATATACTGGAAAGGAGTTCTCGTAAATATATGGGGGTTAGAGTTACTTGGTTTAGCCTTGGCGGTGTTATGGCGTTTATACTGCGGTTTTATGCTGCTTGAATCCTCTCACGGGTTTGCTCATTCTCTCATTCGATCGATCTATCTGTCCATCTATCTATCTATCTCTATATATGTATATATACATACCTATACTACCACACACACGTGTGTATATGTGTTAGTGTGTGTGTA